ACTAGTTTGTAAGACTATCTTGCTCACCATTGTCTTAAGTTGTGTTCAAGAAGTTAGGGTTTTCTTTCAATCCAAACATTTGCTTTGTACTCAACTCATCCAAATATCTTGGTTGCAGCCTTTAAGAAGATAATCCTTAACTAAACTACCAGTGATTTTAAACAAAGAATGTAAACTACTGGACATCCATATAAAAATTAAGGAGATTCTAGAATTACAACCACAAAGATCATAACATTGATACTGGTTAAAAAGTATCCAAGTGAAAAGATCTGAAATCCAGTATTATACAGTATTATTAAATCAAACCTAGTTCTTTGGTTAGCATATTCCCCCACCCCTATAAATACTTGAGAAATATGTGAATAAAAATAAGACCCCCCCATACTCACTATATTTGAAAATATTTAAAAAAAATAAATAAATAAAAAAGTTCATATTTTGAAAGTAAAGGAATGTTTTACAAAAGTATTAATAACCGGGACAATTATTTGTAGCTTCTATTTTTTTTTCAAGATTTCAAATACCTTATAAAAAATTTTCAGTAATTTATATTGTCATCTGTTCTTACTTTTCAAAACTGATTTTGACCTACTGAAAGTGAATATTATTTTCTAGAAGAATGTTTACAATTGCTTCTTAATGGTAATGAAAAATGACTACCAAGAAGAGTTGTTACAAAAAAAAAATAAACAGAAATTTTATTTCATTCCTAAAATGAGCCATTTTATTAATTTCACTTGATATTTTATCAGTGGATGAAATAAATCTTTAAAAATGTGTATAACGTCAGATGGCTATAAATATGACAAATAGCTTTTTGATGACAAGGATCACGACAAATGAAAATATTTGTATTGCTAATATTCTACTTTTTGCTTTTAATATGGAAGGTGATACGCATCAAATTACAACTGATTTATAAACGCACTGGTTCTAAGCATGCATGAATTCATCAGCATTTCACTGTGCTTATGTTAAAAAGTTAAATAATATGAATTTAAAGAGAAATATTCCTTGCTATAATTTCTTAACCCCCTTCTTATCTTTATGTGAATAGTAGCTGCTGAAGAAGAAGTATTATGCCAATATTCGATGAGTGGCAGGTGTATCATAGAGACGAGTGTCTCCTCCTTGGTGTCAAATCACTTGAGCTAAGGTTGCCGGGGCAAATGTCAATATTTGAGAGGTACATTATTGGAGAAGAAAAAAAAACTTGCAAATTTATAAAATTGATGAATAAAAATCTACATTGTTTTAAAACTTTTATATTCGGTATATAATCAGATTTTTTTTTTTTTCAGTTTAAAACTAAAAATCTTATGGATCGATTATTAAACATGACTGGAGATCGATTTTAATTTCTAACATAGTTTATCTTATTTTTAACGAGGCCCTGGTCACCTGGTTAGTATTTTTTTAAAAGATGATTGAGGAGAGGCGGAACATGATGTCCATACCTACTAAAATACTCTACTACTAGAAAGACCCAACACAAAGAGAGGAGAAAGGAGGCGATGTTTTTCTCTTCTTCTGCCTTCTTTACCTGGAAGAGAAGAGGGAAAGACCCATATTAGTCTTTCTACTCAGGTAGTGGGGGGGGGAGGAAAAAAAAGCAACACATGGTTACTGAATGAATAACCTTCCTTAAAAACAAAAACAAAAAACGAAGACAAAACACACATATACAGACAACTCATCACAGGACGTGACAACTTTCCACTCCTGTTTTTGTTTCGTCTTTATATTTTTTTAATCTATTTTTCTTTGGAATTTCAAGGAAAAAAAAAACTATATTTTCTCTGTTAGCTTGCCCAAACACTTATTTTACTAAACAATTTCAACTAATAAAAAATTACAAAAACAGAAAACGGGAAAATCTAAGAAATAAAAAAGATGTTTTCAGTTTTAGGCTTTTAAAGCTCTATAAATCGAAGAAAAAGTAGCTTTACTAATCAGAATTCTGATTCTAATATCAAGGAAATTTAGTGCAAGTTTTATTTTAGTAGTTAGTAAAAGACTTAGAGAAAATATGGGAAATTTTTAAAACATTATTTAAATTTGTTTCTTTTTTTCCCCCATATTTTTTTATCTAGAAGTTTTATCTTTTGTTGTTTTAAGCCTAAGGTATACAGTTAATAATTATTCATTTGAGAAAAGATACCCAGTTATTAATTAGTAAAAGTAAACTTAAACGTTATTGACTTGCTACGTCAATGACATTTAATACGTCAACGTCGTAGGGGAGGCCATAAAGTACTTTGGCTGAGGTGAATGAATTAAAAAAAAGGTCTTAGATAAAAAATCCAAAAACACGATCAATTGAAATCTACGACTATATTATGGAGAATTGAGATACCTTTCTTCACCGAGAAAAAAGACAGTCTATTAAATAACACTAAATATGTACTATTGAGTATTTTTAAGTCAAATAGGCACCATAAATTTGTAAGCTACACACAAAGAAAATTAAATAACTATTTTTTTTAAAAAAAAACAATAACATTAACAAACAATAAATCGCTAAAAATAGCAGACAAAAAAAAATCCCAATCCCAACCCATTAAAGATGTTTTTAACGTGTTCAAATGTTATTTTCATAATGTGAAAACTATGTATTTACTACTATTAACTAAACACAATAGATTATCTAGAACGACAGATAAGTAAATAAACATTGGGTAATGGAACTAGTACTACTACTAAGTAAATATATTTGTTGAAGCTTGCGAAAGTAAAAAAAAAAAAAGTGTTAAATTTAAAAACAAAAAAAAAAAGGATTTGAATAGTTACGTTCCTTAAATAAACATAAAATCGTAAAGTAGCTCAATAATTGTATTGAAATTAGTAGGAACGGAAGTCTTTACATTAATTAAAGAATGACAAGTTAGCTTGATGATACAAAAACTAAAAAAAGGATAAAAAAAAAATGAATTCGATGGCAGATTTAGCAATTAAGGATCGGCACTGATACATTCTCATAAGACTAAGACTAAAAGAGAGTTGTATTGTGATTGTTCATCTAGAAAACAAGAAAACCATATCCGGTAATTAAGCCATGTCATGAATGGTTTATTAAAATAATTATGAAAAAAAAAAAAAAAAAAAAACATAATTAAAAATTTTTTTAAAAAAAAGGTCAGGAATTGAGATCTTTCTTTTTAAGTGAAGCAATTTAAAAAATTTTATAATTGTCGAATTTAGAAAGAAGTATGAATAAAAATTGTTTTTACCATTTATTTTACTTCTTTCTTTTTTTTTAAAGATTTTGTATTGCGATTAGAAACTATAACCTATACACGTGGAAAAAAAAGATTAACAATTTATAAAGGAAGAGAAAAAAATAAAATGAATTACACTACACTACAGTTAAAAAAAAATGAAGGGGGGGAAACTTTCTTTGTTTCTCTTCATTACATACATATGTAGTATGGATATATACCCTTTGTATAAAAAGTGACTAAAGAAATAAAACAATATTTACAAATCGACATGTCTATAAATTTAAAAGAAATCAGATAACATTAAAATTATTGTTCGCGCAAAATAAAGAATAAAAACTATTTATCCATATAGCTGAGTGGATGACTCGTCGTACAAATCGTTAAAAATCTTTAATCAATAGCCGACTATTTATGCATGCAATCTACTGGGTCTGAAATGCATTCTTTCAAGCTGATTATAAATATTATATTCTTTTAAATGAAAATATTGGTAGAAAACTAGAAAGCAATATATTTCCAGTTTTTCCAAGGACGAGTCCAAGGGTCATAGCTTAGGTAGATAGATTGCTATCAGACTATGTTACTATAATAGTGGCCATATTGTGACAGAAAATTATCACTTGGAATTTTACCTTTTACAAATTGCGACTAAAATTGCACGCATTTAGCATTATTTATATACAAGAGTAATCCTAATTCCAGTCAGGGTAAAAACTATTAAAAGATAACAAAACGAATTAAAGAAATTAACTCCAAACAATTCAAATTTAACACAGTCATAAACAAAACAATAAAAATGAAAACGTTTTTTTTGTTGTCAGTCTAAGTGAAGTGACTTCAGTTTTTTTAATTGAAATGAAAAAGAATTCTTGTGATAAAATATATTTGAAAAGGAAACCTATAAGAAATTTATGTATTTGTTAAGTTAGATAGCGAATAAAACGTAAATAAAACTGTTTTTCTTAGTGTAAAGAAAAGTATAAAATGACTTAGGTGATTACACTTTAAACAGCTGTTATTTGTATGAAGAAAAAATAAAATACAAGTCAGAAATTAAAAAAAAATGAATGAAAAAAAAAAAAGGAATTGATTTACGAGAAAAATACTTTCAAAATATCCTAGTCTTCTAATTTTGTTTTTAAATAAGATGGCTTCAAAATAAAGAAAATCTTTTCACAGGTCTTATGACGATAAAATACGTTTTTTGCCAACATCTAAAAATTTAATGACAAAGTATAATTAATATAATAAAAGCAACATAATCGGTTTTTTGGGGGTTTTCTTTCTTAAAATAAAAATGATTCAAATTGGGTTAAGAAGTGAATGGTGTTTACTGTTTAAAACTAGCAAGTTATTGCTTGCTTCTGACCATTCTTCAATGTCTGGAACAACGATAATCCTTTTATTTATTTATTTTTTTTTTGTCCTTTTAACATAGAAAAATAAATAAGAGACCATTTTGTGTGGAAAGAATTTAATACAACATATTTAGCAGTAATTTAATTTGTTAATTAACTGGCTTTATTTACTGGCGATCAGCTTTTATTAAATCCAAACTTAATCACTCTCGGTAAGCAAGATTTAAACGTACTTAAAAATATTCTTTAGCGACAAGTAAACTATCAAATGACAAAATCAATAAAAAAAGAATCATTATTATTATTATTCAAAGGTTTTAAAAGCAACTTGATCATGGTTAGATTAAAAAATATCTGGCCACAAAAAGAATAATGTGAAATTTTAATCAAGATACTTTTTTTCTTTGTAAAGACTTACCATCAGATCCAATTACGATTAAATTATTTTCGTCCATATTTTCTAATCGTAATGATTGTGGTCCTTAAGTGTAGTTGCCTCGTGGTGATGATGATAGCCTTACAAAAACGTCTAATAGTTGCAAAAATAAATCTAAGAAAAAGCGCTATTGTTGTTGTGTTGTTATTATTATTCAATGGCAGCCACACCCAGATCTAACACTAGAAACAACAGTAACACTCCAGATGGAAGCAGTGTAGCTGCAACAAGAAAACGGACTACTGCTATAATATTGTCTAACACTGGAACACACACGTGCATGCACGCACTGGGAGACAGAAAGGAAGAAAGACAGGCAGACACCGAGAGAGAGAGAGAAAAGGGGGAAACAACTGCACACCCTCCCCCTCAAACTTAAAAAAAAAGAAAGAAGAAAAAAAACGGTCCAACCGCACTTAATAATAATAATAATAACAAAGACTATATTGCTCTCTCTTTAAGTGGTTCCCAACGGAATAACCTGCACCATCAAAGTGCACATGCCACCACTGCAGCTTGCCTGGACAAATCTAAGCAGTCAAATTTCAATTAGAGAAAGTGGAAGTTTCACTACCGGAAACATTTGCCACTACTAAAAAGTCACATGATTTCAGTGGCCAACATTATCACAAGGAGGGGAGAGGAAAAAAAACACTATCACATAAGATCTCTATTATTATTATTATTATTATTATTATTATTACTACTACTATTATTATTATTAATAATGAAATATGTATGTCTCATATCGCGAATAAATACTTACAATTTTTTTCAACTTTCGACAGTATTTTCCGGAGAATAAAAAAATATACTATTTAAAAAAAAATAACATTAAAAAAATTATGTCACGAAGTGTAAATTCTGATTTTCTTTTTCTTTTCTTTTTTTTATTTTTAGGTGACTGGAAAAAACACATTTTTGCTCTTTTTGCCGAAAGCTGAAATAAGATGCCGTTTTTTGCCCATTGTTGTTACGGACAGAAGTCGATATTGTGAAGCGTTATGTTGTTGGCTTAAATATGCATCCATGACAATATGCACGTGGGTAATGCTGGCTAGCTGGAATTGGAATTTTCTGACAGATCGACTACATGTGGGCTTCTGTTTTTCCATTATAAACATGTGAAAGTTCTATGTGTACTCGGATTATTCGGGATTCCTGGATTTGACTTCGTTCGTAGCATTTTTTATATGTTATAGATAAGCGCGTACTTCGAAATCTGCTGAGTAACCAGGTGGTCAGCAATAATAACATGAGCTCTCTCTAGAGTGTAAGTAGTTGTCAGAATGATTAAGGTATTTTTGAGTGTGTGTCGATAATTGTGCCATGTGTAAAAAAAAGCATCTTTTGTGTATAGCTTAGAATGCGAGTTGTCAGCATTTATGTATTGTAATAGATTGTAAACATATTTATAAGGATCATTAAATAACTGAATTTTTGTTTAGAATAATTAAAATGAAAAAAAATCCAGAATTAAAAAAAAAAAAAACTAAAGTGAAACGAGACGGAGGTTATATTGTGTGTTGTTTTGAAAAATGTGTTTTGAGAAATGGCTTGTAAAATAGTCTCTCTCTCTCTCTCTCTCTCTCTCTCTCTCTCCCCTCTTTCTTTCCATGCTGCAACGTGGGGTTAAAAGTACTTTTGTGATAATGTTGAACACATTGACAATCACTAAGTTGCTATTTTCGACAAAACTCTCCAACAAGAAGAATTTCTTTGGGAAGAAACATGAATTAATCATAAAGTAAAATGAAAATAAATAGGCATTTTATTTGAAATAGATGAGAAATAAAGCACTTGATTGGTCGATCAACGTGCAACCCGATGCAAGCAGAATTGTCCTGATATAAAATAAACTATAAAAACGTCGCTAAATTTCCTCTTCTTATTTGATCATAAAGCCTTTTTATTTAAAAAAAAAAAAAAAAAAGTACGGGAGAAATCGTTTCTTCATAGATTGCAAATAAAAATTTCAGTGCACATTTAGAGGTTAGAGATCCATTTATTACCATTCTGTCAAGGAAAATATTGTACTTGCAATAAAATAAAAAAATATTGCTTTCATTCAATATTGAATGCATGCATAATCCTGAATGAACACAATAAAAGCGCGGGCGCGCGCGCACGCACACACACATATTTCGTTAGACAACAATGACAAGGTACTTTGTAATTTTTGTTTAGTTTTTTATTTTTATTTTTCTTGTATGCATGTAAAAATATAATACAAAACCAAATAAAAATATTTGTCATTCTTGTTTAACGAAACACGTATTAAAGAGAGTTTATTGGAATTCAACTTTGATAATGAAAAAAATAATTATCCCATTTGGAAAAAGGAAACAATGATCTTGTTACATTACAACATTTTTTACGTTACAGAAATAAACAAAAATAAGTACTGAACAAATATTGTGGGGTTTAAGGAGGAAATAGAAAAAGAAATTGCCCACTTACATGTTTTTCAGCTTTTGTAAACAGTCCTAATTCCAGCATCAAAACCAGAAAATCAGTTGTATTTTTATTTCATCTGACATGGAATTAATTTAATAAAGGAAAACAAATACAAAATAATTACGAAAAATAAATAAAAATGGGTTTAGCTGCCCAATTAGATACAGTCACTTCTTAAAAAAATAGGAACTATTTTATAACTTGAAAGATTATCAATTGAAAGAATGCAAGAAATGCAGACAAGAGAAATGACATGTTTCAGGTTTTTTAAATCAATTTTAAAACTTTTTTTAAAAATAAAATATCACCTAAAAGGTCTTGAATTGCTATAGGCATAATAATCACAGAACAATACGTCATGGATCTCCTTTAAAAAGAACAAATTGAAATTCCTTGTCATTTCTGTTCCATTGACTCAAAAACATAATTTGCAATGTATCATTCATTCAACTTTGAACTTTGACAAACACTAACACGCAAACCAAATGATTTTATTTTTAAGCTCTAACTAGAAGCGACTAAGAGAAGATCATAAAAAAATGTCTTCATGTAACTCAAAATTCTCATTTAGCTGATTTCTCTTGCGTAATTCTAGAAATTCAGGAATAGTTAACTTTTTTGAAGTACTGTTTCAAGAAATGAAAATATTGCATAAGCATTGACCCGAATTACATATTTTGGCCACTTTTCTATGTGAGATCAGAAAAATTATGTCGCCTTTAGTGTGATAAATATGTCTTTGTTAAAGGAAATTTAACTTTTTACTATATTTCAGAAAATATTTGTTTAATCTTAATTGCGATAATAATATTTTCGTGGAATGGTCGTTCCAACAAAGTCTACATAAAATAGTTCAAGGGAAGTAACTCGTGTATTATTTGACACATGGTTTAAACTCATTGATCAGTTCAATCTAGCACAAAAGGAGATCGAACATCTTACGTAACCAATAATTTGTGAGACAAACTCAGCAGCAAACCAGTACAGACAGTTTTTAATTTATGCCATTTTTCAACAGATTATTGATGTCCTATCAAAATATTGGAGAAAGTTCTCCAGCTAATATATAGGTATATCAATATGCCTACACAAACTAATAATGAAAAAATATTTATTTTTTACAATAAATATTTATATTTAACATTTTCTTTCATTGTTAATGTACTTAATTCAGTAGTGATTATTAATAACATAGACTGAACATTTTATAGCAGAAATTTAAAATCAAAAACTTAAATATCCATACTTGTATAATTTTTGGTTTTAAAAATTACTTTAAATGGGTCAGAGCTGTATATAGGTTAATTAATATATGTAATATAATATGTATATATAATATAGATAACAATTTCGGGAATCAGTTCACATTATTGAATAAACCCATAAAGCTTTCATTATTTGGTAAGTCCATGAGAAAATGAAAAACATCACAATACACAATGTGCACACTAAAATCAAATATATATGACATTCAAGACAAAACAGTTTGACAGTTAAGACATTTCTATCATATTTATGAACGCTTAGGGCCTATAAGATTGTTGAATGGTAGCAGATTATTATTTCAAAACCTACATCAGGATTTCAGCAACTTTGATTTGAATTTCCTTTAATGGAATGATGTAGGGAGGCCAGCAATCCTAACTGGAAATTGGTCAATCATCAGTTATGATTACTTCTGCTGTTGTTTATTAGACCATGTTGTAGAACAAACAGTTGTTTCTGAAATGGGGAAAGAACTGTTGTGGTTTATTGGTGTAACATGTGAAGAAAGTCCTTTAAGAAAAAGAAAAAGTGACTGAAATCTTCAAGAGGGTTGATGATGCTTGAGGTATCTTTGTCAGATTCTGTAATTTGTACCATGGTTTTTCATACAGTTAATAAGGTCTTTTGTCTTTGGCATAAAGTTACTTTAAGAAGTGAGTCAAGTGAATTTCACGATGAATCTCGAACTGCCTACCCACATACAGTATTTACTACTGTATTTATTGTCTGTAGGTATGCCACAACACTGTCTTAATTTCTGTGCAGATGAGAACCATACAAAGGTGAGAGGTGTGTGACAAATCTAAAAATGGACAAAACAGAGGCCTGAGCAGTCATAAAGTATCTACAAAAGAAAGGTATTACACCCATGGAAATTCATGAGGACACTTGCTAAGAACTCCCCTTCCTATGCAACTGTCAAGAAGTTGGCTGCAGAATTCAAGTGGGCCACGGAGAGCACAGAAGATGACACTCAGTTCACCCAAAAACCTCAATCACTGATGAAAAAGTTGATGCCATTTACCATATGGTTTTGGATAACAGATGTTTTAATGTCCAGCACATAACTAAATCCTTTGGCATTAATTCTTGTTCGGTCAATACCATTTTAACTGAGATGTTGGAGATGTTCAAGATGGGTCCCAAGAATGCTAACACCAGAGCAGAAGCTGAAATGGATTGACATTTCTAAGACACTTCTGAATCACTTACAAAATTTCCACTGCAAATTAGTAACTCAAGATGAAACCTGGATTCACCTGAATCAAAGATTCAAAGCAAACAGTAGAAACACTG